ATTTGAATAGAACATGTGGCAACGATTAGATAATTCTTTAAATGATATACATTTTGTGGTAAAGAAAGTGAATTTTAAAGAATGCATTTATTCTATTGTGGTTTATGCGCTGTCGCCGAAGTAGGTTTAATTCAATCTAATAAGTTTAAATAAAATGCAAGAAAAAATGCGTATAATTTAATATTCCGTACAAGGAAGTCATGTGGTGTACACATCAGATTTTTTTATAAAGTTGTTCTGCAGATTAAAATTCTACGCAGTTTTTAAATTAAACGTTTGGTGTGTCTTTCAGCCATTTTTACGGTACATTTAAAAGCCAGACGAAGGCTGGCAGCGAAGCTGCTAGTATGAAATAATAAATTATAATTTGGAATAATAAAATTATAGTTCGAAGAGCCGATTACCAAATCAGTATATCCAACTCCAGCTGTAGAAGAAAAAGTGGGGGGTAGAATCAAAATTATTGAATAATAAAAGATTTCTATATAAAATAAAGTCATTCACTAAAACTCCTGTCCCATTAGCCGATGCAGCTCTCCAAGTAAAATGTAAAAAATATTTGCATTAATATCTCCAAAAATCAAAAATTTTGTGTATAAATTTAAAATGTCATCCAATTCAAAGAGATATAAATTTACATCTTCTGCTAGGGAAAAATAAACGCACGCAACTCCATATGACTTTTTATTAGTCTTAATTGTTATAGAGGTGATAACATCTAATGAATAATCCACAATAAAATTAATATCCGAATTAACGACAATAATGGCCGTTCTCCCACCATTTCTATGAATAACTCTCCAACTTCTATTACTACACTGACTACCAATAAGTATTTGGACACCTATGTAAATGACGATATCTGCGGTCCTAAGGTACGTCCCGCACTCCGCCGGTATATATCGTGTAGGAAACAGCATCGGCTTTAGTAGCATGAAAGATGCCTCGCAGTTCGGAGCTCTCTGATTTCAAGAAAGGTATAATTATTGGGTATCACAAATGTGGCCGATCCTTAAGGTACATATCTAGCGATCTGAAGTACCTAAAATCGACAGTGGCCTATGTGATTAAGAAATGAAAGGTGAGCGATGATTGTCGGAATGTGCCCCGAGTCGGCAGACCAACAAAACTGGGAGACAGAGACCGACGAGTGCTGTCCAGAGAAATTCGGAAGAACCGCACCCAACCGATAGCCCTCATCCGCGAGGAGTTTCAACAGGCATCCGGGAGTATTGTTTCAATGAATACCATCCGTAAGGCAGCACATCTGCTTGGTTTTCATGGTCGTGCTGCTGCCCATAAGCCTTTGATCACAAAGTCCAACCGCGCTGCTCGGTTAATGTGGTGCAAAGCACATCGAAATTGGACCGTAGATCAGTGGAAACGGGTTCTTTGGAGTGACGAATCAAGGTTCACCCTTTACCGTTCGGACGGCAGGGTCTGGGTCTGGCGTCTACCTGGAAAACGTCTCCTGCCAGAATGCATTGTGTCAACAGTCAAGTTCGGCGGAGGTGGAATTATGTTCTGGGGGTGTTCTCCTGTTATGGGGTGGGACTCTTGGTCCTCATTCATGGTAAGCTCAACTCCGATGCCTACTGCACTATTTTGGATGACAACGTGCTTCCTACGTTTTGGCAGTTTTACGGGTTGGACCCCTGTTACTTTCAGAACGACAATGCCAGTTGTCATGTTTCGACGTTAACCAAGGCTTGGTATGGTGCCAATGGAGTTCATCGAATGGACTGGCCTGGCCAGAGTCCAGACCTGAACCCTATCGAGAACCTCTGGAACGAGTCGCATCGCCGAATTCAGGGGTGCACTACCCGTGCAAAATCGGGGAAGGAACTTCTATGTCTTCTCCAAGCCGAGTGGAAGAAAATACCACTAGCTGTCATACAAAGACTTGTGGAAAGCATGCCCCGGAGGGGTACACGCTGTAATTACCTCTTATGGAGACTCTACCAACTATTGATTTTGAATAAAGTTAGTTTTTCTTTTCTATCATAGGTGTCCAAATACTTATTGGTAGTCAGTGTAGCAGTCCTAAATACAAAATTTCAACGTTCTGAAGCTATTCGTTTTTGAGTTATGCGAGATACGTAGTACGTACAAACACCATGGAAAAATCTCTTCAGAATCCATTTTAAATCAGTTTTCTAATTTTTTGGGGGAAAAAATGTCCTTTATTCTGTCCTTACGTACAGATGACATGCAAAAACATCGTTAAATTGTATTTTGAATGTAGAATGAAGTTAAACAAAAAGAACGAAGTTGTTATCTTACGCTGATATATTTTATGAAAGTATATGCATTACTAAATGTGCTATTGTCTGAAATGTAGTTCATTCATAGCAGTAAATGTACCGCACAGTACGCTATATTTGCATTAATTATTTAAAGGGTTGGATGGAGATTCTTCTCACTCAGGATTTGACGATTGAGTGTCCTAAAAACCTTAGTCGCCCTTTAAAAGAGGGAGTTTATAAGATATTTCTCCCCCCTTCTTAGCGTGCCTTCGTGGTGTAGTGGTCAGCACATTGAGCCGGTAGCCGGTATTTCAGAGGTCCGTAGTTCGATTCCTGGCGAAGGCGATGCTCATTTTTCATTTCTCCTGCTCCTAAACAAATACATAATGTCTCTAGAGTGGAGCCCGAACTAAAAAGGGGATGGATAATGACTCTCCACACCCAGGATTTGGCGATTGGGTCCCCTAAAAGAAACTCCAGTTACCCTTTAAAAAATGGAGTATATAAGGTATTTCTCCCGCCTTCCTAGCGTGCCTTCGTGGTGTAGTGGTTCTGCACGCTGGGCCGTTATTCCATAGGTCCGTGGTTCAATTCCCGGCGAAGGCGATTGCTCATTTTTCATCTTGCCTGCTTCCAAACGAACGTAATGTCTCTACAGTGACGCCTGAACTAAAAGGGTGTTGGATGGTGATTCTTCTCACCCAGGATTTGGCGACTGGATCCCCTAAAAACCCCAGTCGCCCTTTAAAAAGGGGGAGTATATAGGTATTTCTCCCCCCTTCCTAGCGTGCCTTCGTGGTCTAGTGGTTCTGCACGCTGGGCCGGTATCCCATAGGTCCGTGGTTCGATTCCCGGCGAAGGCGATAGCTCATTTTTCATCTCTCCGGCTTTTCCAATTAACCTAATGTCTCCATACATTTTCTAAAACATTGAATGACATATTCATTTAAATTAATCAATTTTACACAATTTCTAACATAAATTCATGGTTGTGAAACCCACTATTGCTTATTACATAATATTTCTAACCAAATTATACACTAAAGTGGCAAAAGTCATGGGATAGCAATATGCAAATATACAGATGGCAGTAGTATCGCGTAGAAAATGTATAAATGCGAAGTGCTTTCGCAGGGCTTTCATTTGTGTTCAAGTTATTCATGTGAAAAGGCTTTGACGTGATTATGGCCGCACGATGAGAATTAACAGGCTTTGAACGCAGAATGGTAGTTGGAGCTAGACGCATGGGTCATTCCATTTCGGATATCGTTAGGGAATTCAACATTCCGAGATCCACAGTGTCAAGAGTATGCCGAGAGTATCTAATTTCAGGCATAACATCCCACCACGGACAGCGCAGTGGCCGACCACCTGCACTTAACGACCGAGACCAGCGACGTATGCGTAGAGTTGTCAATGTTCGCAGACAAGCAACACTGCGTCAAATAACCGCAGAAATCAATGTGGGACGTACGAGGGACGTGTCCGATAGGACAGTGCGGCGAAATTTGTCTTCCTTGGGCTATGCCAGCAGAACACCGACTCGAGTGCCTTTACCGACAACACGAAATCGCTTGCAGCGACTCTCGTGGGCTCGTGAGCATATCGGTTGGTCCCTAAACGAATGGAAAACCGTGGCTTGGTCAGATGAGTCACGATTTGAGTTGGTAGGTAAGAGCTGATGGTAGGGTTCGAGTGTGGCTCGGACCCCACGAAGCCGTGGACCCAAGTTGTCAACAAGGCATTGTTCAAGCTGGGGGTGGTTCCATAATGGTATGGGCTGTTTTTATATGGCATGGACTCGGTCCTCTGGCGCAACGGAACCGATCATTGACTGGAAATGGATACCTTCAGCTACTTGGAGATCACTTACAGCCATTACGGACTTCACGTACTCAAACAACGATGGGATTTTTACGGATGACAATGCGCCATGTCACCGGACCACAATTGTTCGCGATTGGTTAGAAGAACATTCTGGACAATTCCAGCGAATGATCTGGCCACCTAGATTGCCCGACATGAATCCCATCGAACATTTATGGGACATCATCGAGAGGTCAGTTCGTGCCCAAAACCCTGCACCGTCAACACTTTCACAATTATGGACGTCTATAGAGGCAGCATAGCTCAATATTCCTGCAGGGGACTTCCAACGACTTGTTGAGTCCATGCCACGTCGAGTTGCTGCACTTCGCCGGGCAAAAGGAGGACCGACAAAATATTAGGAGGTATCCCATGACTTTTGTCACTTTAGTGTATAAGTAATCACAAATATACAATTCAACTTAGTTACAATTTTAGAAATTTACTCTACATAATCAATCTACTTCAAAATATTCATATCGAAATGGATTATTTACAGTTTTTATAATTCCTAACCCGGATTTTTCTTTCTTAAGTAAGTACTTCATATTTTCTTTTGAGATATTTTAAAAATATTCTTCTGAAATAGAGACTGTCTATATTCACTCATACAAATAGTGTATGAAGTCTGTATTTTGTGCTTTACAACCACACATTTTACTTTCTTTCTGTGAAATCTCTTTAAATATTCTGGACTTTGTCCATGATCTGTCAGTGCTGGATTTATTCGAGAACCTTGTTGTTTTAACTTTAGGAAAAATCCGAAATAATTTTCTTCTTGTGTTACCATTATCCCACTGGTCTTGCCATTTCTTCGTCATTTCTTTTTGCAATAATGTTTTTACGCATTTTATTGATACGGTGGAAAAAATATCTGTATTACCGCTTTTAGTTGCTTCCTCCGCAGTTTTGTCTGCAGCTTCATTTCCTAGCACTCCTGTGTGACCTTTGACCCAATTAATTTTCAAGTTATGCTTTACTATAAATTGACCTTCAGGTAAACTTTACAGCGACTGCTGGTGCCTTCAATGAGATGACCTACCAGCGCAGATGCTTGCCTAGCGCAGATGACCATTCCTCTACTAGAGGAGTTTCCAAGTATCTGGCTGGAGGAGGCAAATGTGCAGAGACAGTACGCCGTCTTTAAAGATGTGCAGGTGGGTGTGATATCTCATTGACATTCAAGCCCCAAATCATAATGCTGCCACCTCTGAATGCACGATGTTCGATGATATCCTGGGCCTGTTACCAGTGGCTTGTTCTCTTCAGCCTCTATATGCTTATCATCTTATTGCAGGGCAAATCTGGACTTGCATGAACTGGGCATTGCATGAACCTGACAGAGTCCAAATGAGATGTTGAGGACACCAGTTTAATCTTGCTCGTCTGGACTGGATGCTTAGTGGAACACCAAATACTTAGTATTTGAGTGCATAGTTCACTTGGTACATGAGTGCATAGTTTGACTTCTTTGGAATTGTTATTCAAGAAATTAATGAATGATCAATGCTGAAGAAAATATCTTTGATTGTTTGTCGTACTTCAGTGCTTCCGACAACTGGCCAACACTCGCGATATCTCATTCGTGTTCTTTCACCCATAGTATCAAGAATATCGTCAAAAATTATCTTACCAAAGTTATAAATACTTCGTATTTAAATCAACCTCTTCAAACCTTTCAGAGTGATGACGTCTTCAATGACTGGCGAATTAACATATGTTTGGATAGTGAATGGAGATGGCTGTAACATAAGATATTCGCATATATTGCCAGGTACATTCGCAATGATTTTCAAACATTCAAATGTATTCAATTATTTTTAGTTGTAGGTTACTAAATTTTATTCAATTATCGTTAAAAACTGGTTAATGAAGTTTGTAAATTCAAAATTTATTAATTACGTTCATTTATTAAATTCTTTTCTGCATAAATGAATTTATTAATTACGTTCATTTATTAAATTCTTTTCTGCATAAATGGCATTGTTTGTTTTACAGAATGCATGATTTTGATGACAATGGTAAATTAGATGGACTAGAATTAGTAGCTGCTATGACTCATGCAATGGAGCATTCAGATGACCACAATTTGCCATTCCAAGAAAAAGAAGGCAAGTAATAACGTATATAAAATAAATGTTATATGATAGCGTAAGTAAACCATTCAAGCCCTCCAAAATTTTTTAAATAATTATGAAAATAAGTTTATTAGAACTGTGTGCTTTGCATTTCTTTTAGTTGTTTAGCCAATAAATGCATGAAAAATTTATAATACTTTGTCATGACTTTTCAGGTATTAACAAACTCTCTCATAGAGTAAATTATGAACGGTTCCTTCAATTATTTTTAACTATCAGCTACGCAGCCAGCCTTCGTCTGCCTTTTAAATGTATCGGAAAAATGCCTGAGGGGAATACCAGACGTTAAATTTAAAAACTACGCAGAATTTTACTTTGCAGAACAACTTCATAAAAAAAATTTAAAAAAAATCGTATTACATATAAAAAAATTACAATGAAATAAGCAATATCCCTTAATACAAATATTAATTATTCTAATAAATAAATTAACCAACTTCCCGTTGCCTTCTCTCAGCTCTTAAATTTAAAAACTGCACAGAATTATCGCCCTCATTTTTCTAAGAGGCAACAGTGCTGATTTTTAACAGCAGTCCAGTAAACAACTGAATGAAAAACTGTTGCCAAAACCACATTTCTAAAAGAATGAAACTATTCAAAATGACACGATAAAATTGAAGAGATAAAATTAAAAAAAAAAATATATGATTCGAATTTTGAAAAAATCGCTTTGAAGTGCACTGGCTCTTGTCTAGATGCACCTATGTACCAAATTTCGTAGCCCTGGGTCTATTAGCTTACACGCAGCACGAAGGAACGACGCGCAGACTCTTTCTTTTATTATATGTAGAGATTACAATTTTCCGAAATATTTCTTGAACATGCAGAAATAAGTAAGAATAAAACCGATTATATTTTGTATTTGGAAATAATAAGTCATACGATTCTTGACCAAAATCTACTTTAATATTTTTTCTAAAATGCATTGAGAGTTTTGAAAGCTACATTTAACATTCTATAATGTGCACTTAAAAATATGAAACTTTTAGCTAGCCTCTTGTGATTGATTCTCATAGAACTTTTTCGATCTTTTTAGTATTTCTGCCCAGTCTATCTGTTAAACTCCTTTCTTAGTCATTTTCAGTGTTTTTGAAAAAAGATTCGTCAAGTTTCGTTGTATAGATAAAGAGGGAAAACAGATAGATATTTTACAGAAATAAAATATATGATTGTTAATGAATGATTACTGTATCATTTGCCACGAGTTTTTTAATAAGAAAAGAAAATAAATTGAAGCTCTTGAATCATATTAGTATTGCGAATATGCACTGAAAAATATTAAAATAACTTTATTAAGATAATGTTAATAAAATTACCCAATAGCCCCCAAAAAGCTTGGTTTTATTTTATTTTCTGCAATTAATTGTTAAATAATAAGACGTTTGAGATTCTCGAAAACAAATTACCATTATAAAATATGTAAGTAATTTATTGAAGGTGTTCCAAACTAAAGTCGTGCAGAAACTGGACCCGAGTCATAAATTATATTTCTTTGTTCTTCATTCTTAGGCGACAGAGATTTCTGCAACTTATGATTGAATAAAGCCGCTGTAAAGTCTTGTATTCTTAGAAAGCGTAAACTAGAGACTTTAAAAAGACTGTTGAATAATTATCTTCTAGTGAAACAAAATAAAAGTCAGAAGAAGGATGTGTAAGACCATTTTATTTGAACACAAAGAAGCAACAATGACCCAACTTGGGTTTACACAAGCCAACACTTCCGGCTAAACTGAAATACGCAATGCTGAACTAAAATCAAATATAACAGATTAGCCTAACGGCTCACAGGATAATGTAAAGCGCAGGAAAGGCTCTAGTTTGTAGAAAATAGGCGAGACAAGCCTTATGGCTAGAAGCACTCAATACCACAGAATCAAATTGCTGGTGCATGAAAGTCTTGGTGCAGCGTGTCCTGAAGTAGGCAGAACACGCTCTAAAATTAATTTGCGGAACCTTTGCTTAAACAGCACTTCTTTCTCCCTCAATATGAATAAACTCTTGTTATCTCATTTACATTCTGGCCTGAAAAGAGTGGGTGAAAAGAGAGTGACAGAAAAGTAATTGAACTTCAAATTAACTATTAGTTAAAAATAAATAGATAAATCTTCACACCGTCACGATTGTTTCCTATAGTGTTATCATAGGTAAAAATCTGTAAAAATAACAATTATATAACGTATTTCAGTTACCAAAAAATTACTTAAAACCGTACCTTTGTCCTTTATCATTTTATTCTACGCGATATTAAAGCTTAAATCGTTCGTCCTCGAGATCATAAAAGAAGTGTACATCATTATAACGATGTGCGTGCGAAAACAAATGTGTATTTATTAGATGAATACTTTTAAATATTAAATTTATGCATTGCTTATTACTAAATCTGATTGTCAGTCTTTAATTAGAAAGCAATGAGAACCTTTTATGCAATATGATTACTACTAATAAAAATACATAACTAAAAACATTACTTTCATTAGGCTTCATTGCACAGATAATGAAATAAAAGGATTTTTTGTGAAGATACTAAGTATTATATATGGTGATAAAAAGAATAAGAATATGGGCTATTAGAATTTTTAATTAATCAATTTCAAGCTTATGAATAGCTGGAAAATATTATGGTTTACTGAATCCTATGATGATTTACGATAACACGATATACAAAGCAAAAAGTACAATAATAAAATAAAAAATCCGATGTGTACACCACAGGACTTCCTTGTACAGAACATTAAATTATACGCATTCTTCCTGCCTTTCATTTAAACTTATTTCCTCGAATTTCATTGGAGATATATTTTTCATTCAATTAATTCAGTTCTCACTTCGCGAAAAGGAAAAATATATATAAAAATTCAAAATATCTATATTAAAAATTGAAAGCTATAGAAAAACACCAAACACCGAATACAATTAAAGGAACTAAAAAATTTGTTTTACAATTAAAATTACAGTTTCTCCGCAAGAACAATCAGTTTGGCCACCGGCAAGAAGGCAGCTTTTTCGATGCACAAAAATAAGTTTACTTTTGCTCTCACTCAGCAAAAAAACATTGAAGACATAGAAACTGACTTAATTTGTTGTGGACCCTATGCTGAGTCAATATATGAGAAATTTAATAATTTAAATGATAATTCCAGAATGAATTAAGTATAATTTAATTCGCAATAATAAAAGAAGACGTTACTTTGTTTTTGGAAGCTTAATATCTCTAGATTGGCAACAAATCCACTATTCTGCTGAGTTTCAAATATAAACAAATATGGCTGCTATGGTAAAAAAATAAGGCTTAGCCGCGCTTAAACAACTTTTAAATTGTTGATACTTCTACAACTATAACATGCAGGTTAACTAAAGGCATAAAAACCTTAACCAGAATATAAGAACAACATAATTCAATCAATTGTAAAGGTAAAAATGCACAATTTACAAACATATAAGAATAAAGACACTGAGCTCACTGAGCCAAGTAACAGAGTGGATAAATACATACATATATTTATATATTTTTGGTGAGGCTGATTGCAATGAAAATAGGAGGTGCACATCTACATGTTATAGCAGTCCTATTTGCAAAATTTCAACGCTTTGAGGTTGCTCGTTTTTGAGTTATGCGAGGTACATACATACGTGCGTACGTACCAACGCCACGGAAAAGTCTCTTCTGAATCCATTTTAAATGAGTTGTACGTATAATTCGTTTGCGGGAAAAGAATCCTTTATTCTGTCCTTACGCATATTTAAACTGAACCAATTTTTTAGATAAAGATTGAGAAACTGTTATTTTAACAAACATTTTCGATGCGAGAATCCCTTACACTCTATTTCAATAGTTATTGATTGCAAAGATTTTCATTAAGTGGCAGTTGAATACAGGATACCTCGGTATGCAGACAACTCTTATCGTCACTAAGCTATTTTTTTCGTATATATGTTCTTCAAGCATACCTGATGCCCTGATAAGCAGTTGTTTTAATATTTCTTTTCTATATCCTGTGAGTTTTAAAAGACCTTCAGCTCTGGCTCAAAATAGGGCATCTTTGATGAAAAAAATGGAACTATTTTGCTCATCAATAATTACTTATCATTTACTATTATCCATAACTTTTATAGCTTCAGCAGTTTAACAGCGAGCCTGACAATAACGTACAGTAAATATTACTACTTTTATTATGTTACAACAGTCTTAATATACGGCAATGTCTTGATGAATTTTAGGATTCTATTAAGTATTTGTGGAAACGTTTTTAAGAATAATACTCTTTTGATTTAGAAAAGGAGTAGATTATTTATTTATTTAATTTATTTATTATAGCCATTGTAGACAGTTTCTTCTCCTACGATGACAATATGGATGGTTTCATAAGCTACCCAGAATTGCGAAGGCATCTTGCACCTTCTGAAGAACGCAAGCCCTAAGTGAACACTGAGGAATAAAAATACAACAAAAAAAAAAAAAAAAAAAAAAAAAAAAAAAAAAAAAAAAAAAAGGAAAAAAGTTATTAAAAACATTTTCTGTATGATTTAGTATTATATTTTGTGTTGTATGTTTGATATAAAAAAGATGCGTAGCTAGTATGTGAATCATAAGTATTTAGCTTTCAAAAATACCAGCTATTCTGAAGCCTACAATAAAAAAAAAGGCTAAAAAAAAAAAAAAAAAAAAAAAAAAAAAAAAAAAAAAAAAAAAAAAGCAAATTTTGATTAAAATTATGTTTCCAGAAACATCAAAAGGCACTTTTTGACTTGATTTTAAAAATATTTGCAATATATTTTTTATATTTTATTTTATGCTACTATTTTTCATTTCTTTTCAAAATAAATTTCTTTTCAAAAATAAAAGAGATTAAAAATTATGTTGTGAATGTGAATTCAGTTACAAGAATATTTAAGCTTCCTTTCATTTACAGTAAGTCATTCATGTAAGTTAGATTGAAACAATTTCCAGAATGCATTCATTTGATAAAAGTAATTAACAATAAGATGATTTACGCTATATTTCCTACAAAATCGCAACTTTTTGAGACTAGATATTTTTGTTAACGTTTATAACACTGATGAAAGTAAACCTAAGTTTTCATAATTGACTTTTCACCGTAACATTATAATAGCTGTTCTTTTAATATGAATTTCATGCTAGGAAGTAAATAAGCATCTGCTACATATCAGGAAAGAAATTCACGTTTTGATTTTATCACACATAAGCGCATAGCTTTAAATAAAGCTAACTACCGTAAAAACGTTTCAAGTATATTTATCTGATAAGAAATGATTTTTATGTTATATGTTCATGCTATCTAGTAAATATGTATTGTTGATCTAATATGTATGGTAGGGGCAGGAGATTGTATTTTATGCAGTGGGCAAGAGATTGTATTTTATGCAAGCTGCGATAAGTAGAAACTATTTTAAACTACCTTATATAATCTAGGGCATGTGTAACGCGAGAGACACATAACATATATATTTAGATAGATGGGAGATAGCACTCCAACATTATATCATTCTTATTAAGAAAATCTGGAACAAAAATTATAAAAATTCAATTATGGCACAAAAATACCATAATTAGGCTTTTCTTGAAGGTTAGTATTATCGCAGGAATGGAATCAGGAAAATACAAGGCAGATGTATTCATAGCCCTGAATGTAATGCAGTGTATAATCTCCATTTTGAAAAAATTGAAAACTCATAAGGCGACAGCTAAAGAGTAGATTAGAATCAGTACATAGTTGTCCCCAAAACCAAAAATGTATGGATAAGGTCCATGTTTTGCACTAATTGCATATTGTCTCAGGGCGAAAGCGGGAAATAAATTATTTGACAATCGCCACACGAACAACTGCCTAGAAAAAATCGCTTACAAAAACAAAATGCTCAAACTACTTTATATGCCAGGTTCAGTAGTCTGTATCAGGACTAAAGAGAAGGGCTAGCTCATAGAACGTTTCCCCCTGAAACATGCAGTGAGGAGTGGTGACGTAGCAATGATGCCACCGAGCGCGGAGATGCAATTGACAACATAGAAATTAGCGTTTTAAATTTGAAGAACCAGGGTTTAAAATGAGCTGTGTGTGAAAGATAGCTATAATTTGGAAGAGACAATGTTACTGCAGTATGCATTTTACACTGAACATTACAAAATTTAATAGTACTTACTCAATTTTAAAATAATAGATAAAGTGCGCTACTCTTAGCATAAAGTTCCTTTTTTTATTTGCAGGGAATTTTTTTTTGCTTTAAATGCCTGTTTGTTTCTAATCATTTCTTTATCTGCATGTTAACTAAGAGAACTGTACTACTGCTTCTAAGATAACTATAATAACAGCTATTTAAAATTAATCAAAAAACAACCTTAAATTGGCATAGTTTTAAAACATGTATGGTTAATATGGCAAAAATTTCTGCTAATCTAAGTTTGAGTTTCAGCCTAATTGTAAATTTTACATTGGCATATTTTTATCCCGATTCAATATAATAACATATATTTTTTAAATAATTTTGTAACTTAGGCTTACATCAATATTTCATTTAAATAAATACCATGTAAGATTCTTATCTAATTTAGACAAAACAAACTTTACTCACAGTACCTAAAATAATTATTTAATTTTTCAAACGTGGGAGTTAAGGGGGTAGGTCTTCTTATGCCAATTACTTATGTTATAGTTTATAATGTATACAATAATACAATAATGTTATACTTTATATATATTTTATCTAGAATACTAAACTAGTACACAATAATCGAATCGATAATAACAGAGGATACAATAAAAATAATCTGTAACAATAATTTAACAGAATTAGTTCTCATTTGAAATATGCTTTACGCTATTAACTTCTGAAATGCCATCTAGAAATATTTCAAATCAAAACATATTATATATGCTAACTTGTTCAGTCGCAATGCAACTACAAGTTGTTGAAACATTATTTATTGGCTGACACATTCGAAGCAACCCATTTTTTTGCCTTTTCGGTTGGCTTTTCTTTGGGAAGAAACATATGCATTTCTATTTAAGAAACGTACTTCTAATAAGACGTTTGCACTCTGCAAAATAAACGAATTGCTTCTCTGTTAACTTCAGGATAATATTTCTCCAGTTTATTAATTAAAGAGCCAATTACATGCTTCCCTTTATAGTAAGTTGTACCATGAACTGCACAAAATATGTTTTCGAACTCATAAACTGTATTCATCCATAAATGAGAAGGTGTAGTCAAACCTCCTACGGACAATAATTTAATCCATTCTGAATTAAATATTGGTTCATCAGCACTATTTTTAGATATTGTTCCCAATGATGGGTCTTTGTCTCACGATAGGCAATATAACCTGCAACATACGTTAATGCTTCTTTTTCGGCTGTCGAAAATTGTCTGTCGGAATTCAATTCTAATTCCCAAGTCATAGGAGAAGGTTCCTCTATGAAATCCAAATCCAAATCATCAATAGTATTTAATGGAAAAGCATCTTCCTCCTCAGTTTTCAAAGCCCTTTCAAGTATTTCGGATGTTAAATAAGAATCAATATTTCTGCTTTCTTTAGTCATGCATACTTTTGAAGATAAATTTGGCAGCTTACTAGCGAGTATTAATTGCTTTAAGCGGCGTATAACTTCACTAGGTGATGGATGGTCATTAAACCTACCAAGCCCTCGAATCTGACTAAAGAGACTTTCAAGTGCATCCTGCGTTAATCTAGAGGTTAAAATATATTTAGCATCATACTATGATTTCAAATCCTGGTGTAGGCCAAAAAGAGAATTTATTGAAATTATTATTCCTTTTTGGAAAGGCAGTAAGTTGGCTTTTCCCTGAACTCTTAATCCACCAATTTCTTCATTAATTCCAAAACTTGAATTTGTTTTTCATGATGTTCATTTAATCCAAATGCTGCTTTAAGTATTTTATCTGAAGGAGGGTATGTTTTCGTACTATTCATAATATCGAAAAAATTGTCGATTAACTCAAAGAAGTCGGATGCTTTTTTATCTCCTGTGAGGTGGAGTATACCTTTTGCTGTACTTCTTGAAAAATAATGTTTTTCGCTGGAGCGACTTTTTATCTCTCGTTTTCCCTTGACCATTAAATAATTGGTTTTAGTTTGTGACACCAATTTAATTTCTCCTGAATCTTTATTTAAAACCTCTTTAATAATATCAACATTTAAAACAGTTCCCTCTTCTAAAACAAATCCTTTATCTAAAAAGTGGTTTCTCAGTAATTTGAGGCAGTGCGCTAAATCTGCAAAAACCCATATTTTTTTCGTTTGGAATACTGGATTTGGAAACTGAGAACTATTAATCGAAATCTGTAACTCTTTCCACAAAGTAGTAGACCCTCCTAAATCAGACACTATTGCTTTCACTTCTACTCCAGATGATTAAATATGTCTTATGAGTGAAAAAAGAAGTTCTTTCTTCCTTGGAGTGTTAAAATAAAAAAAAATTGGTTGTTTCCACTGCGAAATGAGACCTCTGATTAAAACAAACTGCACTTTTTGAAAAGGACCGAGAATTTGGTCCAGTTTAGGAAGTCATAGCAAGAGTTTAGAATCTATGTGCATTTCGTCGTCGAAACTGAGAACGCATACTTTTTCTACAGAATTCAAATATTGGCATCTTTCCTTCATTACAGCAAGAACATCACTCTGAGTTCCTGGACTACATGAAAATTTAGCGCACCATCCTCTTTAATGTGCTAGTGCTAGGTAAAGGAATTCCCATTTTTTCCTTTCCAAAAATCGTAAGCTTTTAGATGACAGAGCTCCTATGACAATGCAACGTGAAATATCTTCACTAGTCCACCTGATTTTTTCCTTCTTTTCTAGCAATGCGTTAATCTGCGTCTTTGTAAATTATGCTTTAAACGTTTTTCCAAATTCTCCGATCTGTTCTGTTTTTTCCTAAATTTCGCTGTTTGGGATTTTAATTTCTGAATTTCCGATACAAATTTCTTTCTAGATGTCGTCCAGCTTCTTTGTCGCTGAGCAAACATTCTAAAATTTTTCTTTCTCTATTTTTCAATATTTTATTACAATTTTCTAAGGATATTATTTTGTTCTTCAAATTGTCAATACATTCTTGTTTATCTTTACACTTAGGGCACTCAGGGATATTGTCACATAGGGCATTGTCACTTGTGAGTTTTATTTCAAAATCATTCACATTTGATTTATTATTGTCAGCTTCAATTTCGTTCTCGGCCTCAAAATAAATTTTCTTTGGGTTTAATTCGTGTAGTCTTTCAAAAGCACTCTGCATTAGTTTTCTTTTCAAATGTCTCCGATTTCTTTGTGTTATTTCGTTTACTGCACACGATAAATTTACTTTCGGCACAGCATTGCATTTCAACAGTTTCTTTGCGGCAAAATCCAAGCAAGCGATTTCTCATGTTATCTTCATAATCACTGCACAGAAAATTTGCTG